TCTTCAACAACCAATGGGTCAAAGAAGACATCAAAAGAGAAATTGGAGAACATTTTGAGATAAATGAAATGACACAACATACCAAAACTTATGAGTTGTAAAGTTATGCTTAGAGGGAAATTTATAACTGTAAATGCCTATATCAAGAAAGAAGAAAGATCTCAAATCAATAACATAACCTTCCACTTTTAAGGCAATGGAAAAGGAAGAGCAAATGAAACCCAAAACAATTAGAAGGAAACAAATAATAATTAGAGTGGAAATTAATGCAAGAGAGAACAGAAAAACAATAGAGAAAATCAGTGAAACTAAAAACTGGTTCTTTAAAAGATTAACAAAACTGACAAAATTTTAACTAGTATTACCAAGAAAAAAAGAGAGAAGACTCACATTAGAATCAGAAATTAGAGAGGAGAAATTATTACTGACCTTACAAAAATAAAAAGGATGAAACATAACCAAAATTTTCATGCCAAAAAATTAAATAACTTAGATGAAATGAACAAATTCCTAGATAGACACAAACTACCAAAAGTGACCCAAGAAGAAACAGGCAATCTGAGTATACCTACAACAAATGAAGAGATTAAATCAGTGATCAAAAAACTAGTGAGAAAGAAAAGCTCAGGCCTAGATGGCTTTACTGTTGAATTCTACCATACATTCAAAGAATTAATACCAATTCTTCAAATACACATCCAAAAAGGAGAAGAAGATGGAACATTTGTCAACTTATTTTATGAGGCCAGTATTATCCTGTTACCAAACCAGACAAAAATATCACAAGTGGCCGGGCGTGGTGGCTCACGCCTGTAATCCTGGCACTCTGGGAGGCCGAGGCAGGCGGATTGCTCGAGGTTGGGAGTTCGAAACCATCCTGAGCGAGACCCCGTCTCTACTAAAAATAGAAAGAAATTAATTAACCAACTAAAAATATATATACAAAAAATTAGCCGGGCATGGTGGTGCATGCCTGTAGTCCCAGCTACTTGGGAGGCTGAGGCAGGAGGATCGCTTGAGCCCAGGAGTTTGAGGTTGCTGTGAGCTAGGCTGACGCCATGGCACTCACTCTAGCCAGGGCAACAAAAAGGGAGACTCTGTAAGAAAACAACAGATCAATAACTCTATTGCAAATGGGCATAAAAATCCTCAATAAAATACTAGAGAACCATATCTGGCAACATATAAAAAAAATTATATGCCATGACAAAGTGGGATTTATCCCATGGATGCAAGGTTGATTTATTCTCTGAAAGTCAATTAATATAATACAGCATATTAACGAAATTTTTAAAATCACATGATCATCTCAATAGATGCTAAAAAAGTATGACAAAACCCAATATTCTTTTGTGATAAATGCACTCCAAAATTAGAAATAGAAGGGAACTTCCTTAACATGATAAAGGGCATCTATAAAAAACACACAGCTAGGCCGGGCGCGGTGGCTCACGCCTGTAATCCTAGCACTCTGGGAGGCTGAGGCGGGTGGATTGCTCGAGGTCAGGAGTTCGAAACCAGCCTGAGCAAGAGTGAGACCTCGTCTCTACCATAAATAGAAATTAATTGGCCAACTGATATACATAGAAAAAATTAGCCGGGCATGGTGGCGCATGCCTATAGTCCCAGCTACTCGGGAGGCTGAGGCAGGAGGATTGCTTGAACCCAGGAGTTTGAGGTTGCTGTGAGCTAGGCTGAAGCCATGGCACTCACTCTAGCCTGGACAACAAAGCGAGACTCTGTCTCAAAATAAAAAATAAAAAAAAAAAGAATTAAAAAAAAACAAAAAAAAAAACATACAGCTAACTTAATGATATTTAATAATGAAAGAATGGATGCTTTCATCCTAAGTGCCCAATATCAGCCCTTCTATTCAACATTGTATTAGAGGTCTAGCTAGGTCAATTAGGCAAGAAAAAGAAATAAAAAGCATAAAGATTGGAAAAAAGGAAGTAAAATTCTATTTGCAGATGACATAATCTTGTATATAGCAAATCCAAAGAAATACACTAAAAAACTATTAGAACTAATAAAAAGTTTCCTCAAGGTTGCAGATACAAGATCAATATACAAAAATCATTGTATTCCTATACAGTTGCAAGGAACAAAAAATAAGAAAACAATTATATTTCTAATAGCATCGAAAAGAATAAAATGCTTAAGAATAAATTTAAGAGAAGTATAAAACTTATATTCTGAAAATTGCAAAACATTGGTGAAAGAAATTAAAGATCTAAACAAATGGAAAAAAAATCACATGTTCATGATTTGGAAAACTTAATATTGTTAGGATGACAATATTCCCCAAACTGACCTGCAGAAATGCAATCCCTATCTTTGTAGAAATTAACAAGTTAATTCTAAAATTTATTTGGAATTGCAAAAAATGCAAAATAGCCAAAATAATCCTGAAAAAGAAAAAAAAAGTAGGAGGACTCAAACTTCCCAATTGCAAAACTTACTACAAGGCAATGATAATTGAGACACTATGGAAATGGCATAGGAAAGGTATATATAACAGTGGAATAAAATAGAGGGTACAGAAATAAACCAATACCTTTATAGTCAGCTGATTTTCAACAGGAATTTTAAGACTGGTCAATGAAGAAAGAATACTCTTCTAACAAATGGTACTAAGAAACTGGATGACTACATACAAAATAATGAAACTGACCCCTTACCTCACACTGTATATAAAAATTAATTCAAAATGGATCAAAGCCCTAAATTTAAGTGCAAAAGTATAAAATCTTTAAAAGAAAAATATAGGTCAAACCTTCATAACTTAACAGTTTGGCAAACCTTTCTTAGATATAAAAACCAAAAGCATGTGCAAAAAAGAAAAAACAGAAAAATTTGACTTCTTCAAAATTAAAACTTTTATGCTTCAAAGGATGCCATCAAGAAAATGAAAAGACAACCCACACAGAGTTATAAAATATTTGCAAATTAAATATCTGACTAGAGACTTGTCTCTATATAAAGAACTCTTACAGTTCAAGAAGAAAAAGAATCCAACTTAAAAATGTACAAAGAATCTCACTAGACATTTCTCCAAAGATATACAAATGACCAATAAGCACATGAAAAGATGCTCTACATGATTACTCATCAGGGAAATGAAAATCAAAGCTACAATGTGATACCATTTCACACCAACCAGGATGGCAAGAATCAGAAAGCCAAATAATAAACGTTGACGAGAATGTGGAAAAATGAGAACCCTCATACACTGCTGATGAGAATGTAAATTGGTACAGCCACTTTGGGAAACAATCTGGCAGTCCCTCAAATGATTAAACATAGAGTTATTACCATATGACCCAAAACTATACCATTCCTAGGTATATACCCAAGAGAAATGAAAATGTTATGTTCACATTGAAACTTGTACATGAATGTTTATCACAGCATTATCTATAACACCCAAGAGGTCTTTTTAAATCTACTAATTCCATTTGTTCAGTTACACTATGGTCTGAATATATGTGTACCCACAAAATCCATATGTTGAAACCTAACCCCCAAAGTAATGGTATTAACAGGTGTGGGGCCTTTGGAAAGTAATTAGGTCATGCGTGCATTCATGAATAGGATTAGTGCCTTTATAAAAGAAGCTTGAGGGAGCTTGTTAGCCCCCTTTTGCTCTTTCAACATGTGACGGTACATAGAAGGTGCCATCTATGAGGAATAGGCCCTCACCAGACACTGATTCTGCTGTCACTTTGATCTTAGACTTCTCAGCCTCCAGAACCATAAGCAATAAATTTCTGTTGTTTATAAATTATACATTATAAAGTATTTTGTTATAGTAGCCAAAATGGACCAAAACAACTTACTATCCAAACTTCTAAATTTTTATTATCATTCTCTTTTTTCCCCATTCTCCCTATCTTTATGGAGTTACACCCTAAAAACATTTCCATTATCAATTTTTTATGTGTAGATTTCTGGGAAGAATGAAATTATATGTATAGATTTGCTCTCCCATCTTTGGATAGAGGTTGTTTAACAGAAATGTTTGTATATAAATGTAACTTATATGAAGTCTATCCTAGTTTTTTGTGTTCATAAAAATTTGATTATTCTGACACGACCTCTAACTGACTCATGTCAAAATAATCAATTTTTTCTGGAGGAGAAAACATACCTGGAGAAGAAAGAAAAACTCTTTCACTACCAGGAAATAAGCATCTTAGAAAATTATTTTAATAATTTATATGAAGGACAAGGTAGAAAAATAGAAATTTCAATTATCAAGTATGCAATTATCTTATTCATTTGACATATGCTAACAGGCAATACAGTGCTGGCTAGGCTATGTATAACCAACAGAGTTGTTTAGCCACAATGTTTTAGAGTAGTTCATTACTCTGCAATACATTGGCATAACTAGTTTTATTCTTCATGCTTTAGTTTATGCTACAATGACAGAAACGAAATAAAAACTGGGATATGTCACACTTCTAGTGAAAAAATTCAGTTTATAATATTATTTTCACTTTTGGTATATGTTCATGCTAAATTAACATATCCTGATAAATGTGTTTTGTCTTTATTGTTTTCAGAACTTAGCAAAGCTATATATGGACAGTAGATACTCAAATACCTGCCAACATACTTACCAGTCAGTAGAACCCATATATTATATCCTAAAAGTTAAGATTTGCTTCTTTTTCAAAGTTAAGGTACTAAGTGCTGATTGACTCTTTTTTATGGTATTTTCTAATTGGTAGCCTCTAACACAATTCAAAGAGATTACAGATAGAACACCATTATTAAGAGTTTAAAGATGTTTTTATTACCTCAGCATACTTATAGCCTACATGGATTTAGAATTAGAGCCACACCTGTCAGATACTATTTCTTCCAAATACTTATATCCAAAGTACATCTAAATCTATGTATTGTTAAAATAAATAAATTTATGTACTGTTAATATTTAATACTTCACCACTTTTCATGAATCCTTCAAAATATAGGAGAAAATTAAAAAGTACCTTTAATCTTGCTTCGTAGATATTTTAGAACTTCTTGGGTTCCTTTCTAAAAGGGTGGAGACAAATATATTCACCAAGATATATCTTGTAAGTTTTATAGATCAACATAAATGTCTGAATTTAAATTTAAAAATGAAGAGCTGAATTCTAAATATACTTACATTTATAATTTCTCTTCGAATGGTTCTCAAAGGATTTCCCTCCAGTGCTAGGAATTTCAAATGAAGGTTTCCCAAAGAATAGGGCAGACTACAAAAGATTAAGTTGATTATACTTATACTTAAATATAAGTATAATCCAACCAAATAGTTATAAAACTCAAAACATATGACAAACAATATATCATATAATAGTCTCAAAGAAGGGCCAAGTAATGCAGACCTAAAATATTTCCTTTCACAATAAATGCTAAATATGTAAAAGAAAAATCAGGTTTTCAAAATTGTCATATTGAGATTGCTAAAAAAGAATGAGCAATAAAACATTTGCTAAATTGTGTCCCATGCCATAAAGTAATGTTAAAATATATATTTGAATGAAAGTGATTCAACATAGCCATCAGTGATACTAAATGTTTTGACTTTAGTATCCTCAGTGATACTAAATGTTTTGATTTTGCACTTCAAGCAAGCAAACAAAATTCCTTCTAAATGAAAAAGATGACAAAAAAAATCTTTTATCACCCAATTTGTGTTTTTCTTCAATAAGGAAAGTCATTTTTATCTTTGGCACACAAAAAGATAACCCAGTTATATGCATAAATATTTAATCTCAATAAAATTTATTAAGGATCTATAAAATACTAGGCCATTGGTGTAAGGTTATCAAGATTCTTGTCTCTGCCGGGCACAGTGGCTCACAGAAAGAAATAGCTGACACCTTTTTTATCTTAGGGAAACACATTAACATTTACATGACAGCTATCCAGCTTTACATAGAAACACTCTCTCTTTATACCACCACCACCATATGACCATTTTGTCTTTAGCATTATATGAGAACTTTTCTTTGAATCTCCCTTCCAAAAACATTGTTATGCCGGGCTGGGTGGCTCACGCTTGTAATCCTAGCACTGAGGAGCGAGCGGCGGATTGCTCAAGGTCAGGAGTTCAAAACCTGAGCCGAGACCCTGTCTCTACTATAAAATAGAAAGAAATTAATTGGCCAACTAATAATATATATAAATTAGCGGCATGGTGGCGCGTGCCTGTAGTCCCAGCTACTCGGACTGAGGCAGGAGGATGCTTGAGCCCAGGAATTTGAGGTTGCTGTGAGCTAGGCTGACGCCACGGCACTCACTCTAGCCTGGGAAGCAAGACTCTGTCTCAAAAAAAAAAAAAAAAAAAAAAAAACATTGTTATGAGTCAGGTAATGTTATAAAACTCAAACAGTTGTAACACTCAAATTAGGTGTATAGTGCTCCACTATATTAGCAAAGAAAGTAGGGCAATGCCAACAATGAATTATTATAGAAAAATAACTTAAAGGAACTGTTCTCTAATTTCATAGTGTACCTTTAAACAACTGCATTT